ATAGGAAGGGCCCCATGACGGGCCCCCTGTGGCACGCCGACGAGGACACGGTGTAGGCGAATGACTGTTCGTCGCCCAGCTTGACCACGATGCAGGTGTCACTCAGTCCACCCCAGTGCCGCATCCGATACACCGAGCCTCGACATTAGCCGCCCCATAAGTATCGCATCGTCAAGAGAGAGAGAGAGATCGAGGCCAACCAACTGCACTGCATCACGAAACCTGAGTTCAATTTCCCAGAAACTGGCTGACGTCAGTAGCGCCTGACATCTGCACCAGTCATGTCCCCCCCCGCCACCGCTTCATCAACCCGCATTGACCAGCAGCGTGGTCAAACGAATTGAATGAGACGGTGCTTTTTTTCCCTTGTGCGGTCATCCGTGTCTAGGCTGGGGGCCATCAACTCGCTACACTCCAGAGAAATCCCGGGGGGGGGGGGGGGGCGGGGGGGGATTTTTGTTGTTGTAGTTGTAACCCCACTTTTTTTTCATTGTCTTTCAAGAACACATAATGCAGTGGGACTATTAAATGGAGGGAGGAACAATCCGAATGAGAATATTTATGGACACTGGAGGAATCCGATGAGCTACAAAGCTCGTTTTCGCATTATAACGTTTAACAAACCAGGCGTAATGCACCATGAAATTTCAGGATATAATTGAGGGGTAACGAAGGGGAGGGTGAGAGAACCCAGTTTTAACCACGGGCGGCTTAAACCCAGTTTCGAACCCCCGGGATTTCAACAGTGCCGGCTCAGCGCTCCGTGTCACCTCTGGACCACACCACGATTGCCTATCTCCGCGTGATCCACCCTGCCGCCGAAGCATCGCGTCGCACGTGCTGCGCTTGAGCAAGGATTTCGCAATCTTGTGAGGACAAGGAGACCACGGGTCACTTGGCACGGATGGTGCAAGCTGCTGTGGTGGCGGCGGCGTGCAGCTGTCGCTCGCTTGCGCGCTATACTCCACCGAGCAAGTCCCGTCGAAGTGGGAACTCGTCTCCAGAGTACGATTTCACCACGGGGCATCTGTGCGCGCGAACGTTACGCAACGTTCGTGCCCATAAATAGGACCAACAGGCACTGAAATGTTAAATGTAATATATTTCATTAATAATTCTTGTTATTATATTATCACAAGACACGTGATACCGATGTGCAACATTTTTTTGGGATGGGATTGTTCCTGTTTGTTCCTGTTTGGTTAAAAAAAAAAATCCAGAACTCCGTTGAACAGCACACTTTAAATCCCAATTGGCTGTAAACTGGTTTAAATTAAGGATTGATAATCACAACGATGATGACGATGAATGTCATCATGATTAGTGGACACGTCCACCAGTGGACAAACGGAACAAAGCAGTCAATCAAACTTTATGTATTTATTATTCTTTCTTGTTATAATCGTCCCATATCTGGGCTGAGGCCTGCCTCAATGTTTTCCACACTTCGCGACCCCTTGCCACCTCAATCTCCATCCAGTGCGGTCCTCCACATCTTCGAACTTCGTTTCTCTCCAACGTGTTTTTCGGCATGTACCGCTTGAGTTGCTGGGCATGGTGTCCGACGTTTCGCTCCACGTTCTTCAGGAACTGAACGTTCGGGTTGTGCGTGCGGTAGAGACGGAGGGCACATGGGGGACTTATAACGAGACCGACACGTTTAACACGTAGGCTTTCACGACGAACACAGTGTTATGATTCACATTATTAATCATAATAATAATTTACACTTTTAAAGCGCGTTTCATCCAGAGGTCGCAAGTACGCTGGCACAGCGCAAAAAGCAAGTAAGTAAAAAAATAACTCACGCAATTCTAAAAACCTAATATAAGCGCGCAGGCTCATGATTTAACCACGGATACAAATACCGCCCCCCACCCCCCCCCCCCCCCCGAACACTCCAAAAACACATAACAACATTCACAGGGAGGAAAGGCCTTTAAGAAAAAAAATGTCTGAAGGCGGGATTTAAATAAACCGAGGGACTCAGCGGACGGGAGTGAATTCCACAGCGTGGGGGACCACATGGAGAATGGCCTCCGTTGAGCAGAGGTGCAACCTCGGCACACGCGACAAGTAACCCACACTCAAGACGAGCCAAGAACTCGCGTTGGGACGTACGGGTGGAGGAGGTCACGGACGTAAGAGGGAGGAGGCATCAATCTCGATTTGAAGCTTTCGTGACAGCAGGAATCCATATTCTTTGGTTCTTTCGGTGAAGTCACGTAGGTATAAAATAAAACAAATCACGACGTTTCAGGTGCAATACAAGCGTCCGTCATCAGGTGGGAAAACATGATCTGATGCTGAGGAAGACTGTTTTAAAAAGTTTGAAATGGGTGTAGCCCAAGGGGCATAAAGAATTGGCCGGGGTTAGTGATGTTAATCTGAGAAATTAGCGTGATGTTAATGTGAGAAATTAGCATGCCGTTATTGTGAGAAATTAGCGTGATGTTAATGTGAGATATTAGCATGATGTTAATTGTGAGAAATTAGCGTGATGTTAATGTGATAATTTAGCGTGATGTTAATGTGAAAAATTAGCATGATGTTAATGTGATAAATTAGCATGATGTTAATGTGGAAAATTAGCTTGATGTTTATGTGCAAAATTAGCATGATGTTTACGTGATAAATTAGGATGACGTTAACGTGAGAAATTAGCGTGATGTTTACGTGATAAATTAGCATGATGTTTATGTGATAAATTAGCATGATGTTAACGTGAGAAACTAGCATGTAACTGTAACTGCCACTTCCGTGCCCTCGTCGAGGAGGCCGCTCTCCTCCTATCTTACAGCTACATGCTAATTTCTCATAGTAACATCATGCTAATTTCTCACATTAACATCACGCTAATTTCTCACATTACCATCATGCTAATTTCTCACATTAACATCATGCTAATTTCTCACAGTAACATCATGATAATTTCTCACATTAACATCATGCTAATTTCTCACGTTAACATCATGCTAATTTCTCACATTAACATCAGGCTAATTTCTCACGTTAACATCATGCTAATTTCTCACATTAACATCACGCTAATTTCTCACATTACCATCATGCTAATTTCTCACATTAACATCATGCTAATTTCTCACAGTAACATCATGATAATTTCTCACATTAACATCATGCTAATTTCTCACAGTAACATCATGCTAATTTCTCACATTAACATCACGCTAATTTCTCACATTACCATCATGCTAATTTCTCACATTAACATCATGCTAATTTCTCACAGTAACATCATGATAATTTCTCACATTAACATCATGCTAATTTCTCACGTTAACATCATGCTAATTTCTCACATTAACATCACGCTAATTTCTCACATTACCATCATGCTAATTTCTCACATTAACATCATGCTAATTTCTCACAGTAACGTCATGATAATTTCTCACATTAACATCATGCTAATTTCTCACGTTAACATCATGCTAATTTATCACGTTAACATCATGCTAATTTCTCACATTAACATCATGCTAATTTCTCACGTTAACATCATGCTAATTTCTCACATTAACATCACGCTAATTTCTCACGTTAACATCATGCTAATTTCTCACGTTAACATCATGCTAATTTCTCACATTAACATCATTATAATTTCTCACATTAACATCACGCTAATTCCTCACATTACCATCATGCTAATTTCTCACATTAATATCACGCTAATTTCTCACAGTGACATCATGCTAATTTTTCACGTTAACATCATGCTAATTTCTCACATTAACATTACGCTACTTTCTCACAGTAACATCACGCTAATTTCTCACATCAACATCATGCTCATTTCTCACATTAACATCACGCTAATTTATCACATTAACATCACGCTAATTTATCACATTAACATCACGCTAATTTATCACATTAACATAACGCGAATGTATCACATTAACATCATGATAATTTCTCACAGTAACATCATACTAATTTCTCACATTAACATCATGCTAATTTCTCACATTAACATCATGATAATTTCTCACATTAACATCATGATAATTTCTCACAGTAACATCATGCTAATTTCTCACATTAACATCATGCTAATTTCTCACATTAACATCACGCTAATTTCTCACATTAACATCACGCTAAATTATCACATTAACATCACGCTAATTTCTCACATTAACATCATGCTAATTTCTCACATTAACATCATGATAATTTCTCACATTAACATCATGCTAATTTATCACATTAACATCACGCTAATTTCTCACATTAACATCATGCTAATTTCTCACATTAACATCATGATAATTTCTCACATTAACATCATGCTAATTTATCACATTAACATCACGCTAAATTTCTCACATTAACATCATGCTAATATCTCACATTAACATCACGCTAAATTTCTCACATTAACATCATGCTAATATCTCACATTAACATCCGCTAATTTCTCACAATAACAGCATGTTAATTTCTCACATTAACATCACACTAATTTTCACGTTAACATCATGCTAATTTCTCACATTAACATCATGCTAATTTCTCACATTAACATCATGCCAATTTCTCACATTAACATCATGATAATTTCTCACATTAACATCACACTAATTTATTACATTAACATCATGCTAATTTATCACATTAACATCACGCTAAATTTCTCACATTAACATCATGCTAATGTCTCACATTAACATCATGATAATTTCTCACATTAACATCATGCTAATTTATCACATTAACATCATTCTAATTTCTCACATTAACATCACGCTAATTTCTCACATTAACATCACGCTAATTTCTCACATTAACATCATGCTAATTTATCACAGTAACATCATGCTAATTTCTCACATTAACATCATGCTAATTTATCACATTAACATCACTAGCCCCGGCCACTACTTTATGACCCTTGGGCTACACCCATTTCAAACCTTTTTAAAAACAGTCTGCCTCAGCATCAGACCATTCTTTCCCACCTGATGATGGACGCTTGTGTGCGCGCCTGAAACGTCGTGATTTATTTTCTCTTATACCTACGTGACTTTACCCAAAGAACCAAGGAATATGGAGGAGGCATCGTTGAGAGCCATGTGGGCGAGACGTAGGATCTTGAACTCCCACTCGGAAACTGACCGGTAACCAATGGAGAGAGTCAGATACAGGGGCAATGTGCTCAGCAACCGGTATAAGAACCCTGGCAGCTGCATTTTGCAAATGCTTGACGGCTGTTTAACAGCTTGCGAGAGATGCCAGCTAATAATGCATTGCAAAAATCTATGCGTGAAAAGGCAAACGCCGGAACGAGCTTCTTAAGGTGCGATGATGGGAGAAATGGGGCCCAACGTGGCTCTATTTCTGAGGTGAAAGAAGGCAGCCTTAATGACCTTGTTAGTGTGCGGTTCGAAGGTTGGTGAGAGATCAAGGACAACGCCAAGGTGAGCAGCACCGACATTGTGGCCATCAATTAACAAACTTACCGAGCCAGTCTTAGACAATTTATGACGTCAGCCAACAAGAACGATCCACACCAATCTACCAAATTGCAAAATTAATGATGAAACGATCACGGGGCGGGGCTACCTGAGGAGTGGGCGGGGCAACGCCCGAAACAGCAAATCCGCTCGCCCTGTGGGTGGTGCTAGTGGAGCGAGTGGGCGTGGTTATGTAAAATGGGCGGGGCCAACGTTCGGCGGGACACTTCTCATGTGGGCGGCGCCAGCAGGTGAGTGGGCATGGCTATGTGCAGGTGGGGAGGTGGCTTGCAGCTGGCCATGTGTACCAGTTGAGCCTCCCAGAAATGTTGAATGTAACTTTAGTTGAATGTTACGCATAAACACGTCTAACGGGATCAGAAATGCACGTACCGAATTCTCAGGATTATAAGACGCACCGCATTTTAAAGGAAACAAGAGCGAGGGATGTGTCTTATAACACGGTAGCTGTCCGCGTGCGTGACCAGAATTTGTGCCACTTTATTGACACGTGGCACACGTCTTATTCCATGTTTCCTTGCCGTTGCCGGTGCGGGCGCCTGGGTGCGTGCACCTCGCTCACCGGGGCGTCTTACAGTCCTGAGAATGCGGTGCAATACGTACGGTACAATTGACTCCCCCACCACCACCACCACCACCATGGGCATGCGGTGACTGCTCCAGCCGCAAGTCGCTTATGGTGCCATGGATGGCGCCTGCCTTAACTGACGCCGCCGCCCTGCGTGAGGGCGAAGCTCCCCGTGGCCGAGTCAACATCAGCGGCCGCGTATCCCACGGCAGCACCGGGGGGCGCCATGAGGGACGGTGCCAGCAGGTGCGGCGACACGACGGGCTGGTAGCGGTGCTGCTGCTGCTGGTGGTGGTGTTGTTGTTGTTGTTGGTGGTGGTGGTGGTAGGCCCCCGCGGCTGTTGGAAGGCACGAGCAGGACTCGTGAGCTCGGATGACGCCGAGTAGAATCTGCGCCTGCCTGCTCAGCGCGCGCACTTCGCGTCTCAGCGCCGCGTTCTCCTGCTCCAGAAACTCGCTCTCCTGCTCGGCAGACAGGTTGGCGGCGTGGGGGAGGTGGGTACGGTGGGTACGGTGGTGAGGACAGGAGGTGGGTACGGTGGTGAGGTGTTGAGGTGAGGAGGTGGTGAGGTGGCCAGGCGGTGAGTTGAGATTGTGAGGGTGACAAAACGCAATGACGTCGCGTTTTAAATCTGGCGGTGTGTTCACGCGGACGGCACGGGGGTTAGGGCACCCGCGGAACGAACCCAGCGACCAGGGTTCGATTCCCAGTCACGAGCAACGTTAGTGTGCGAGAGGTATCGGAGCCCGTGGTCATTTGCCTCCGTGTCACTCTTTTCTCGCTACTGCCACGGTTACTTTCGCCGTGAAAGTCACTCATCGATTCCTCCGCCCATGTCGCCGAATCGGTTAAACGAAAAACTTTATTTCAAGACCCGCAATGCACTGCGTGGTGAATGCGAGACGGTGGTCCTCAGTACATAAAGTGACGGAGCAGTCGTTAGTGAGCCGCATGCGGCTCCGGAGACTCAGGTTGCCGACCCCCCTGGTCGTTTTTGTCTCATCAACAACCATGCACACTTTAGGTCGAAACAACACACGCACCCACCCACTCACTCACCCATTCACCCACTCACTCACTCACTCACCCACTCACTCACCCACACACTAACCCACTCACTCACCCACTCACTCACCGACTCTCTCACCCACTCACTCACCCACTCACTCACCCACACACTAACCCACTCACTCACCCACTCACTCACCCACACACTAACCCACTCATTCACCCACTCACTCACCCACACACTAACCCACTCACTCACCCACTCACTCACCCACACACTAACACACGTACCCACCCACTCACTCACCCATTCACCCACTCACTCACCCACTCTCTCACCCACTCACTCACCCACTAACTCACCCACTAACTCACCCACACACTAACCCACTCACTCACCCACTCACTCACCCACACACTAACCCTCTCACTCACTCACCCACTTACCCACCCACTCACCCAATCACTCACTCTGTCAACCACTTACCCACACACTCACCCACTTTCTCATCCACTTAATCACCCACACACGCACCCACACACTCACCCACCCATTCACTCACTCATTCACCCACTCTCTCACCCACTCTCTCATCCACTTTCCCACCCAAGCACTCCCCACATACTCACCTACGAACTCACCCACACACGCCCTCACTCGCCCACTCTCTCACCCACTTACCCACCCACTTACTCACCCACCACGCTGCAGGTCTCTCCTCTATCTACTTCTTCCCACGCACTGCTCTACTCTGGGATTGCCTCTTCCCATCACCATCATCATTATCCAAGCTCTAATAATCATAACAACAACGACGATAACCTTTCTAAATCCAATAAACGTATTCGCCCGTAGCTCTATGGAAACTTCGAGAACGCCGCCGTTTGTTTTGTCGGCCGCTTGACATATTTTGTGGGGGCCTCTTTGGCCTGCGCCGTGGCATTGGCGTTGCGGCTCACCTGGTGGAGGCTGTCGGCTCTCTGAGTCTGCTTCTCGCGGCTCTTCTGCGCGGCGATTCGATTCTTCTCTCGCCTCGTCGCTCGCCTCTGCTCGTCCGGCTTCTAATTTTTGATAGAGAACGAGTGAACAATTAAAATCGTCGCTCGCCTCTGCTCGTCCGGCTTCTGATTTTGAGATAGAACGAGTGGACAACTTAAGATTGTTTAGGTTATTCGATCCCGACCCTGACACCTGCTGTATATTTGGAGTTTGCGTGTCTCTCTCTCTCTCTCTCCACGTGGTCGCGTGGATTTATTCTCCGGGTCCTCCGATGTTTACCTCCACACTTAGAAGCACGCGTTCAGAGTATTCGGCTGTTATACATTTCCACACGTGATAAGCCACTTGGTTGAGCTATCATTTGTGGCCAGGTCGCTTCTGAAAAAGAAGCTAAGGGCTCAGTGGGGTTTTAACTGGTAAAATAAAATAAGTCTTTTTTTCTTTTCGCGATTTGTTTACCTTTCCTATACTTTATACGCCCATCGTGTTTTTGTAATTTTTTTTTTATTGTTGGAACGCTCTGACCCGCCCCTACTAGGCATCTGTATAAAGAGCTTTACAGATCATCGGATTCCTCCACTCTAAATGCAGATGCTCCTTATTTATTCTGAAGATTGTTGGTCGCATCTGATCGTCCGGCTTCTGACTTTGAGATAAAAACGAGCGGACAATTAAGATCGTCGCTCGCATCTGATCGTCTGGCTTCTGATTTGGACAATTAAGATCCGCTGGTCGCCACCCAGCCGTTAATACGGCGACGTGGCCCAGCGGTAGCGAGTTCCTCCCGCTTGTAGCAGGGGTTCGCGGTTCGGACCCGGCGGGCGGCCCTAGTTAACACTGCGGTTGCACATTAGCCGTAGAGTATCGTCGCGTGTCGTCTACTTCGTCTTCACGGTGGACGTTAGCGAGCCCGTGACGTCATTAAAAAAAGAATATGCCGTCGTGTGCCGGAATCATTGTCCCAAATTGGTTTTGGCAATTACACCGCAAGCCAATTGCTCGATTGCGCGCAGACACGGCATCATGAACCCCTCCTCTTAAATTACGGCAGTGTCTGTGTGATAACAATTACTCTGTAAGAATAATAGCGCGAACAGGAAATGTACTGAATTATTATTCGTAATAATTATTACATAAGACGGGGCGTTGCGCCGAGTGCAATAAGTGTGCACTATGAGTTTCACACACACACTGGGATCTAATAGCTGTTCACAGAGGCAAAGGTATAGCCTGTAAATGGTTTGTGGAAAGCGATACGTACATAATCGTGGCATTGTAACATCCTGTAGTGGTTATAACGAATTACGATTACACGGCTAACCAATGCGTACACAACCACAAGTATCCTACACTTTTATGATTTGCAGTCCTCTTTCCATCCACTGGCAGATAAAAGCCTCGCCACGCGGTATTGGTAGTGGGGGATCGTTTGACCACACTTCACAAACTCTTGTCATTGCGGGCTGGAGCAGATGGTGCCGTGAAGAGAGACCCGTTGCAGCGGGTGTGATATTTCACACATCTCTGCGTGATCCACCAACCCTTACCTGTCACAGCGTTGAAACCCAGCCGTGCGTCGTTACCACGCCCGGATAATAATCTATGTTTTATTACCCAAGGGTTACAAAACGCAAAGCAATCAACAAGAAAAGGCACTATTGAAGTTCTAGATTTAAAGCTTTCGTGACTGCTAGGATCCATACTCTTTGGTTCGATTGGGTAAAGTCACGTAGGTGAAAATAAAATAACAAAAAATCACGACGTTTCGGCCACAACACAAGCGGCCTTCATCAGGTGAAGCGACGAGACTGTCTGGAGGACAGCGCTGGAGCGAACTGCGCTGTCCTCCAGACAGTCTCGTCCCTTCACCTGATGAAGGCCGCTTGTGTTGTGGCCGAAACGTCGTGAGAATTTTATTGTGTTATTTTATTTTATCAATTTATTATTTTATTCTCATTCTACGTGACTTTACCGAAAGAACCAAAGAAGATTAATCCTTGCAGTTACGAAAGCTTTAAATCGAAATTTAAGCCTCGTTCGCTCACCCGCATAATGTTTGCGAGACGAGCGGCGCTCACGAATCATCGATTATCGATCACCGGATATCGACCGCTACAATCACAGCGCCACCGCTCTCACCTGGGGGCAGCCGGAGTCTCTCCGGGGGCTGCCCTTGCTGCTGCCCTTGCTGCTGCCCTCGCTGCTGCTGCTGCTGCCCCACTCAGTTTCCGATCCGAGCGCAGTGGAGTCGGGGAACTCGCCACTCACGCAGTCGACCATGGCGCCTCACTGTCTCCCGGTCTCTCTGCCTGTTCCACTCCCCCGCGTCTCCCCACAGTGCCCACGGCAGACGCCACTCGTACGGGCTCGGTCGCGGTAGCGACTCTTACAAATCCGCTCTCTTTCTGTGAGCGAGGCTTCCCCATCGCCGCTTCCTTCTACGGCCTGCTCCGTCCACCCCCCGCCCCCGCAAAATGCAACGCCGTGAATCTCCCCCCCCAATCCGCCGCCCGGCTTGGAGCGTTGCGGTGCAGGAGACGAAGCGATGGCGTTGGAGTTGGGATTTTGGAGAGAGGAGTGAAGGAGAGGGACGAGGTGCGAGCAGGAGAAGAGAATTGGAGATGGAGGTGGAGTGGGAGGCTTGTGGAGAAGAGTGGTGGAGTGGGGTAGTGATGGAGAAGGTGGTGGTGGTGGAGTGGGGTAGTGATGGAGAAGGTGGTGGTGATGGTGGTGATAGGTGTTGGTGGAGTGGGGTAGTGATGGAGAAGGTAGTGGTGATGGTGGTGATGGTGGTGGTGCAGTTGGGTAGTGATGGAGAAGGTGGTGGTGGTGGTGGTGGAGTGGGGTAGTGATGGAGAAGATGGTGGTGGTGGTGATGGTGGTGGAGTGGGGTAGTAATGGAGAAGGTGGTGGTGGTGGTGGTGGAGTGGGGTAGTGATGGAGAAGGTGGTGGTGGTGATGGTGGTGGTGGAGTGGGGTAGTGATGGAGAAGGTGGTGGTGGTGGTGATGGTGGTGGAGTGGGGTAGTGATGGAGAAGGTGGTGGTGGTGGTGGTGGTGGTGGTGATGGTGGTGGTGGTGGAGTGGGGTAGTGATGGAGAAGGTGATGGTGGTGGTGGTGATGGTGGTGGTGGTGGAGTGGGGTAGTGATGGAGAAGGTGGTGGTGGTGGTGGTGGAGAAGGTGGTAGTGGTGGTGGTGATGGTGGTGATAGGTGTTGGTGGAGTGGGGTAGTGATGGAGAAGGTGGTGATGGTGGTGATGGTGGTGGTGGAGTGGGGTAGTGATGGAGAAGGTGGTGGTGGTGGTGGTGGTGATGGTGGTGGTGGTGGAGTGGGGTAGTGATGGAGAAGGTGGTGGTGATGGTGGTGGTGGTGGAGTGGGGTAGTGATGGAGAAGATGGTGGTGGTGGTGATGGTGGTGGAGTGGGGTAGTGATGGAGAAGGTGGTGGTGGTGGTGGTGGTGATGGTGGTGGTGGTGGTGATAGGTATTGGTGGAGTGGGGTAGTGATGGAGAAGCTGGTGGTCGTGGTGGTGGTGGAGTGGGGTAGTGATGGAGAAGGTGGTGGTGGTGGTGATGGTGGTGGTGGAGTGGGGTAGTGATGGAGAAGGTGGTGGTGGTGGTGGTGGAGTGGGGTAGTGATGGAGAAGGTGGTGGTGGTGGTGGTGGTGGTGGTGATGGTGGTGGTGGTGGAGTGGGGTAGTGATGGAGAAGGTGGTGGTGGTGGTGATGGTGGTGGTGGAGAAGGTGGTGGTGGTGGTGGTGATGGTGGTGATGGTGGTGGTGGAGTGGGGTAGTGATGGAGAAGGTGGTGGTGGTGGTGGTGGTGGAGAAGGTGGTGGTGGTGGTGATGGTGGTGATAGTGGTGGTGGAGTGGGGTAGTGATGGAGAAGGTGGTGGTGGTGGTAATAGGTGTTGGTGGAGTGGCTATTAGAGATGGTGGCGGTGGAGGTTGTTGGTGGAGTGGGGTATTGATGGAGAAGGTGGTGGTGGTGGTGATAGGTGTTGGTGGAGTGGGGTAGTGATGGAGAAGGTGGTGGTGGTGATGGTGGTGGTGGTGATAGGTATTGGTGGAGTGGGGTAGTGATGGAGAGGGTGGTGGTGGTGGTGGTGATGGTGGTGGAGTGGGGTAGTGATGGAGAAGGTGGTGGTGGTGATAGGTGTTGGTGGAGTGGGGTAGTGATGGAGAAGGTGTTGGTGGTGATGGTGGTGGTGATAGGTGTTGGTGGAGTGGCTGTTAGAGATGGTGGCGGTGGAGGTTGTTGGTGATGGTGGTGGTGATGGAGATCGTGTAGTGGGGAGAAGTAGTGCCGTGGTTAGCGCATGGAAGCCGGATGTGGTGTTGGCCATCCAGCCCCTTGTGTGCCGTGCCGGCCTTCATAGCTGGTGGTCTACCAACACTTGCCCCAACAGTCTGTTAAAGGCTATACGGGAGATCTTTATTTTTGCTTGGTGGTGGAGAGGGAGGTGGTGGAGAGATGGCCCTTTGCTGGATGAAGACCCACCGTCAAGGGGCTAACCATAATAGAGAGGCGGAGAGGGCCCAATGGAACAAGATCGTGGGGGAGATGGAGGGGGTAGAGACGGTGGTGGTGTTACGATTGGAGAGACGGGTGAGGAGGGTGGTTATGGAGGTTTTATTTGTGGAGTGAAGTGGCGCAGAGGGTCGTGAAGAATGAGTTGCAGAGAGTGGTGGAGCGGGGAGTGGTGGAGTGGGTCGTGAAGATTGAGTGATGGGACAATTGTGGAGAGAGCTGTGAAGTTTTCGTACCTTGGCAGTCTGCTTATAACCAGCTACAGTTTAGCAGCCGAGGGCTCACTCCGAATCAATCGAGCGGCCTTATCTTATAACCAGCTACGGTTTCGCAGCCGAGGTCTCACTCCGAATCAATCGAGCGGCCTTATCTTTTAATCGGCTGCGTAACGCTGTATGGTAACGACCTGGTCTGTCGCTCCACACGAAGCTTCAGGTCTTCTTGGCCACGATCATTCCCTTCCTTCTCTATTCCTGCGAAACGTGGAGCCCTCTAAAGGAACATCTGCGCCGGTTTGAAACATTCAGGCTAGCCTGCCTACGATCCATCCTGGGTTTAACCAGACTGGATTGTGTGAGGAGCTCAGATCCATGAAATATCTGGACACAGTCCCATCAGTGATCTCCTCCAGCAAGCGAGGCTGTGTTGGCTGGGTCATGTAGCCCGCATGATCAGCCATTGCATGCCCAAGCAGCTTCTGTTTGGCCGGATAGATGGGGGTAATTGGGCGCGGCACGGGCTAGAAAATAGATGGACTGATGTGGTACAGATGTTGGAACTGATTGGACTTGCCTGTGACTGGTACCAGCGGTGTCCAGATGGGCGTCTGTGGAGGAGGTTCGTGCAGGATGCTACTGGGCAGTTGGAGGCAGTCGCCTTCCACCAATAACTGACGGGTGGCGGAAGAACGACGATCACAACAAAGAGCGGAGCACCGGGTAGCTAAACACACACAAAGTTGGCACAATGGGGAGCACAGTTGGTACATCTGTCAGTCATCTCATTCAGTCAACTCTTGGCAGCTGGGTCTGTTACGTGAGCTCCTGCCAGCGAGTCTTCGACACTTCACGCAGACTCGAAGTGCACCTAGCATGGCACAGTCTCTGTCTTCTTAGAAGTGGAGATATAGAGTGAGAGAAAGGGAAATACTCTAGAACTTAGTGAAGAACACTGCTCTAGAACTTAGTGAAGAACACTGTTCTAGAACTTAGTAAAGAACACTGTTCTAGAACTTAGTGAAGAACACTGCACTAGAACTGAGTGAAGAACACTGCCCTAGAACTTAGTGAAGATCACTGCTGTAGAACTTAGTGAAGAATACTGCTCTAGAACTTAGTGAAGACCACTGCTGTAGAACTTAGTGAAGAACACTGCTCTAGAACTTAGCGAAGCACACTGCTCTAGAACTTAGTGAAGAACACTGCTCTAGAACTTAGTGAGGAACACTGCTCTAGAACTTAGTGAAGAACACTGCTGTACAACTTAGTGAAGAACACTGCTCTAGAAATTAGTGAAGAACACTGCTCTAGAACTTAGTTAAGAACACTGCTCTACAACTTAGTAAAGAACACTGCCCTAGAACCTAGTAAAGAACACTGCCCTAGAACCTAGTGAAGAACACTGTTCTAGAACTTAGTGAAGAACACTGCTCTAGAACTTAGTGATGAACACTGCTCTAGAACTTAGTGAAGAGCACTGCCCTAGAACTTAGTGAAGAACACTGCTCTCGAACTTAGTGAAGAACACTGCTCTAGAACTTAGTGAAGAACACTGCACTAGAACTGAGTGAAGAACACTGCCCTAGAACTTAGTGAAGAACACTGCTCTAGAACTTAGTGAAGAACACTGCTGTAGAACTTAGTGAAGAACACTGCTCTAGAACTTAGCGAAGAACACTGCTCTAGAACTTAGTGAAGAACACTGCTCTAGAACTTAGTGAGGAACATTGCTCTAGAACTTAGTGAAGAACACTGCTGTACAACTTAGTGAAGAACACTGCTCTAGAAATTAGTGAAGAACACTGCTCTAGAACTTAGTGAAGAACACTGCTCTATAACCTAGTAAAGAACACTGCCCTAGAACCTAGTGAAGAACACTGCTCTAGAACTTAGTGAAGAACATTGCTCTAGAACTTAGTGAAGAACACTGCTCTAGAACGTAGTGTAGAACACTGCTGTAGAACTTAGTGAAGAACACTGCTCTCGAACTTAGTGAAGAACACTGCTCTAGAACTTAGTGACGAACACTGCTCTAAAACTGAGTGAAGAGCACTGCCCTAGAACTTAGTAAAGAACACTGCTCTCGAACTTAGTGAATAACACTGCTCTAGAACTTAGAGAAGAACACTGTTCTAGAACTTAGTGAAGAACACTGCCCTAGAACTTAGTGAAGAACACTGCTCTAGAACTTAGTGAAGAACTCTGCTGTAGAACTTAGTGAAGAACGCTGCTCTAGAACTTAGTGAAGAACACTGCTCTAGAACTTAATAAAGAACACTGCTGCAGAACTTAGTGAAGAACACTGCTCTCGAACTTAGTGAAGAACACTGCTCTAGAACTTAGTAAAGAACACTGCTCTAGAATTTAGTGAAGAACACTGCTCTAGAACTGAGTGAAGAACACTGCTCTAGAACTGAGTGAAGAACACTGCTCTAGAACTTAGTGAAGAACACTGCTCTAGAACTTAGTGAAGAACACTGCTCTAGAACTTAGTGAAGAACACTGCTCTAGAACTTAGTGAAGAACACTGCTCTAGAACTTAGTGAAGAACACTGCTCTAGAACTTAGTGAAGAACACTGCTCTAGAACTTAGTGAAGAACACTGCTCTAGAACTTAGTGAAGAACACTGCTCTAGAACTTGGTGAAGAACACTGCTCTAGAACTGAGTGAAAAACACTGCTCTAGAACTTAGTGAAGAACACT